AAAAAGCTTGGTGCTTAAAAGAATACCATCAAGAAGGTGAAAAACCACCCACAGGATGGGAGAAAACTTTTCTAAATCATATCTGATAAGGGTCTAAAATTTAGAATGTATAAAGAACAACTGTAATTCAACATAAAGACAAGCCATGTAAAAACTGAGCAAAGGATCTGAATGAACATTTCTCCAAAGACATATACATAGGCAGTATCTATATGAAAAGATGCTCAACGTTGGCCAGACGTAGTGGCTCATGCCTGTAATCCCAGCACTTTGGGAGGCTGAGTTGGGAAGATCACTTGAGGTCAGAAGTTCAAGACCAGCCTGACCAACATGGTGAAACCCCATCTCTACTAAAAATACAAAAATTAGCTGGGCGTGGTGGCATGGACAATCTCTTGAACCTGGGAGGTAAAGGTTGCAGTGAGCCGAGATCTAGCCATTGCACTCCAGCCTGGGTGACAGAGCAAGACTCTGAGAAAAAAAAAGACGCTTAACATTATTAGTCATTAAAGAAACAAATCAAAAACACAAAACCCACGATGAGGTTCCATTTCACACCCACAGGTATAGCAAAAAACAAGTGCTGGTGAGGATGTGGGGAAATGACATCCTAGATTGCTGGTAGGAATGTAAAATAATGCAGCTGCTACAGAAGAATCTGGCAGTTCTTAGGCAAGTTAAACAGAGTTACCCTATGACTCACCAATTCCATTCCTAGGTACATACCAAAAGAAAAATTTAAGTCCACACAAAAATTTGTACATGAATGTTCTTGGCAATACTGTTCTTAAGTCAAAAAATGGAAGTAACTTCAATGTCTATCAACTGAAAAATGGATAAACAAATTGTGGTGCATCCACACAATGGAATATTATTTGGCCATAAAAAAGAATGCAGTTCTGATCATTGCTACAATATGGTGAATGTGTTTATGTTTACACTAAGTGAAAGAAGCCAGAAACAATAGGACAAACATTGTCTTTCTTCACTTATATGAGGTATCTAGAATGAACAAATTCAGACAAAAGTAAATCAGAGATTACTAGAGGCTGGAGGTTATAATTACCAGAGACTTAAATGTTATCATTTCCATTTTGTGTAATTAAAAAGCTTTGACCCTTCCCTTCCCTTTTTCAAACAAAACAACAAAAACTTTTGCAAATAGTGGTGATGGTTGTACAATATGGTGTATGCAATTAAAGGGCTGAATTGTACAATTTAAAAAATGGGTAATATAGTGGTAAATATTATATATATATATTATATATATTATAAATATTATATATATTTTATTGCATACATATACACAACAACAAAAAAAGAAAAAGAGAAAAGGCTTTGATATGCTTTTTATCTTTTTTTGAGATGAAGTCTCACTCTGTTGTGAGGCTGGACGGCAGTGGCGTGACCTTGGCTCACTGCAACCTCGGCCTCCCAGGTTCAAGCAATTCTGCCTCAGCCTCTCAAGTGGCGGGGACTACAGGCACAAGCCACCACACCTGGCTAATTTTTGTATTTTTAGTAGAGATGGGGTTTCATCACGTTGGTCAGGCTGGTCTCGATCTCTTGATCTTCGGCCTCCCAAAGTGCTGGGATTACAGGCGTCAGCTGCCATGCCCGGCCCTGATGTATGCTTTAACATGGATGAATGTTATGTGAAAGTGGACATAAAAGGCCACATGTTGTATAAAAAATTAAATTTACATCAATTATCCAGAATAAGCAAATCCATAGAAACAGACAACAGATTAATACTGGAAAAAGGGGTGGGAGGGACAGGGGCTTAGGGAGGAATGTGGGGTAGGGTGACTGCTAAAGAGAGCAGGTACAGGAGTGATGAAAATGCTCTGGAATTAGTGGTAATGGTTGTGTAACTTTATATATATATACTAAAAAAAAAAAGTTAACTGTACACTTTAAAAGGGTATTATGGAATGTGAATTGATCTCAAAACAAATTGTAAGTGAATGTCAAAGGCAGGCAATAAAGTTTTTCTGACATGGAATGTTAGAAATTTCTTTATTATTACTTATGCTTATTAAGCGCCAGCTTAATACTGCAGAAAGTTTCAAATCACCCTTGATAACATACTTTCTTTTCTCCTACCCGAATTCTTGATCAAGAGTTTTTCAAGTAAAGACATGCTCTTCTCTCTTCTGTATAAAACTTTATGAAATAAAGGCAAAAGATTGTATATATCTTGCTGGAAAATGCTGCCCAGAGCTCTGGAGATGGTGGCTGCCCGAGCTCCCTTCACTGTCCAGGTCCTGAAAGACTCTTGTTCATGAACTGTCTCTTCACAAAGCAAGTCCACCACTAACAAGAGGAGACAACACAGAATGAATAGTGGGGGTCAAATCACAATAGAGTCCACATTTACTTAGTAATGAAATTTTGTATTAGTCTGGAATCTCTTATAAACTCTTTGAAGGCACATGTAAAATTTTCTTTTCTAGGCTCACAGGTCACTCAAAATTATGACAAAGTAATTTAATACATCCAAAATATCTCACACAAAAAAACCTGTTCTATGGATTTACAATGCACAAAGTAAGAACACAACTAAAATGTTATTATATGCAGTTCTTTTTTTTTTTTTTTTTTTACATAAAATCTCACTCTGTTGCCCAGGCTGGAGTACAATGGCATGATCTTGGTTCACTGCAACCTCCACCTCCTGGTTTCGAGCAATTCTCCTGCCTGAGCCTCCTGAGTAGCTGGGATCACAGGTGAGTGCCACCACACCTTGATAATTTTTGGTATTTTCTGGATGGAGTGCAAGGGCGTGATCTTGGCTCACTGCAAATTCCGCCTCCTGGGTTCAAGTAAGTCTCCTGCCTCAGCCTCCCGAGTAGCTGGGACTATAGGCGCACATCCACCATGCCCAGCTAATTTTTGTATTTTTCAGTAGAGACAGGGTTTCACCATGTTGGCCAGGATGGTCTCAATCTCTTGACCTCATAATCCACCCACCTTGGCCTCCCAAAGTGCTGGGATTATAGGCGTGAGCCACTGCGCCTGGCCAATTTTTGGTATTTTCAGTAGAGATGGGGTTTCACTACGTTGGCCAGGCTGGTCTCGAACTCCTGACCTCAAGTGATCCACCTGCTTTGGCCTCCCGAAGTGCTGGGATTACAGGCCTGAGCCACTGCAACTGGCCAGCAATTCATTATTTAGTGTGATTCAGTGAACTTATATTACATACTAGACACATACTCAAAGTTAAGCAACACTGCAATGCAGAAACTAAAAGTATTCTTGCAATGGAAGACCTCAGTGTGCTCAATGGTGGCTACAGGATAAAAGGTAATTTACCGCCGGGCGCGGTGGCTCACGCCTGTAATCCCAGTACTTTGGGAGGCCGAGGCGGGTGGATCACGAGGTCAAGAGATCGAGACCATCCTGGTCAACATGGTGAAACCCCGTCTCTACTAAAAATACAAAAAAAAGTCATTTGGGCATGGTGGCACGTGCCTGTAATCCCAGCTACTCGGAAGGCTGAGGCAGGAGAATTGCCTGAACCCAGGACGCGGAGGTTGCGGTGAGCCGAGATCGCACCATTGCACTCCAGCCTGGGTAACAAGAGTGAAACTCCGTCTCAAAAAAAAAGGTAATTTTTACCAACTAAGCAGGCAAAGAAGACGGTCTTACCTTGCTGGGTTTATCATTCTGAGGGTCGAAAACTTTCTCACAAAGTCTCAGTCCAGTCTCTTGCCTTAGCTGTTGTAAATAGGCTCTCATCACTTCTAAAACAGAACAATTTAAAAAAACTGTATTTACGAACACATCCCAAATGTACTGGTTGCAGGTCTGCATTCTTGCTGTGGCAATACATTTTTATACATTTGAACAGGATACAAAATAGAAATGACATTCCGAATGGTTTTATAACAACATTTGTTTTGGTTCAAAAGATTTTTCTGCATGTCATCCTTGTTGCTGAGAATCACTTGTGAAAGTGACTAATAAGATAATGTACTTCCTATGATTTCACTCTCCATCTGTACATGAATCAAGGCAAGAAAAGGAGGGGTGGTAGGAAGTCAAATAGAGAAAATCTTCTTGCGCCAGAGAGATAGGATGGAGACCTGTTCTTACCATCTTCCTGTTTGTTTGCAGGTTTGGCATAAATCGCATTAAGTGGAAAACCAGGCTCTCCAGGAATGGGAAAATTAGTGATTCCCAGTGTATACATTTCTTTCTCACCTTGGCTTTTGGAATTGCACTTTTGGAGTTTCTTCAGACACTCAGAAATGTAGAGAGTTATACATATCAAGGTCCTATCAGCTTCATTCTTAACTTCATAGTTCTTGAAGAAGACATTGGCCTTGAAGTAATAGATGGCTTCATCCACAATATCTGTATCTTTTATCTCTCTGGGGGCAGGTCCTTTGAATTGACTTCTGATAGGTAACAGTGCCATGTTTCCAATGAGTTTGGTGTCAGGATCCATGAGAGAAGAGTGGTAAGCCGGCATCTTGGCAGCGCCCGGGTTTCAACCCAGAGGAGCAGGTGACATTAATTCTTTACACATGCTTAAGCATATGCCCAGTCACTTGTAAGTTGCAATTTGATTTTTTTATTTTCTTTTGGAAACAGAGTCAAAATCAGGTAGGCCATGAGACTAGGAAATAACATTTCAGGCCAACATGAAGAATGACTGTGTAATGACAAACCTGGCTTTCTGATGCAGTTAACTACCTAGCTTTGGAGTTTAATCCAAAAGATCACAGGTACTGTGAGGAATATTTTTGAAATAATAAGGTGCCTTGTTTTAAGATAAAAGTCATCTGAATACAAATATAGGGCATAGGGTATATACCCTATAGGGTATTTTATTTATCTTGAGCAGTCTCACTAAAAACCACATCATAAAGTGGTCTGTTCTTTTGGAATCTCTATCTCGGTTAAGACTGGATGGATGTTCCTACTTTGAGATGTGGAAGGGAGGACAATAAATTGAGCACATCATAAATATTTCAGCAAACAGTTTTAGTAAGTACCTTTTAAGTACCTTTAACTTTTTATGCAACTATCTGAATATAAAAACTAACCATGGTTTACTTCATTTTCCTCTTCATCCATTGGATTCACATGTGTTCTAGGCCAATATTCCAAGAGTGCTTGGAGTAAAAGTCCTCCTAAATTCACTGTAAAAAAGTTAATTAAAAAGAGATAAAATGGAAAAGAGAGTTAATTGGCTTTAACCTAAAAATAGAGTAAAAATTCTAAGTTTGTACATATTCTGATGTTAAATTCCTAACCTAATGCCAATGATGCCTAAAATCAACACTTGATTCATTCTGCCAATTCTGCTAAAATTTTATCTTAGAACGTTTAAAGCAATGATGGTATGGAGCAAACAGATATTCTACTTGGTTGTTCGGATAGAGCTATTCTTCAAAAACAAACAAAAATGAGAATCACATTCTCATTTCCATATGAAGTTACTTCCATATGAAGCTATTTCCATATGAAGTTATTGAAACAATTTGTATACCTCAGGTATTTGTATATACCACATTTTTAGGACATAACCAACAAACATAAAGAACTTTTACAAAGATAAGTACTTAGCAAGAAACAGCTCATATCCACCTTCTCTTTAGGAGGGAGGAAAAAAAATGAAGGACACTTAAACTCACATTTTGGATCTGACCCATCAGGGCTGCTGAAACCAGCATCTTTTGCAGAAACCCAGGCAGCAAAACAGTCACTTTCGTCCAAAGTAATAGTTAACATCTATCAAAAGAAAAACCTTAGTGGCATTCATTTGAATACATTCTCCAAACAAGTCTAAAACCTTCATCTATGTGTACTATTTGACTAAAGTGCTAAGTCATCAATTCAGAAACAAAATGTGTTTTGTGTGCACATTTTGCAACTACACAATTTAGTTTCTTGGGATACCAAAGGCATTTAAATCGCATCTGAAACTTTTTAATTTTTTTCTCTTTTAATGTTTTTTTGGTTTTTTAAATTTTGTATTTTTCTTTTTTATTTCTTTTTCCATTTTATAAGTTTTAACATAATTTTTTTTCTTTCATACTTAAAAACACAGGACTCTATAATAATTATTATGAGCTATAATGAAAAACTCCAATTATCCCAAATTATACAAATATTAATTGCTAACTTACCCCTGTTTTTAGGTCTACTGAGAACCAATTTGGCACATATACCATTTTAAATCTTTTCTTAATTTCATCTTCAAAATCTACTTTGCCCAGATCTTCAACTTTACATGCCTATATATCAAAAGAAAGTATAATGATCAATATTAAGTGGTGAATTCACTTGATTCTGACGTTGCTATACAAAATTTTACATATTTTCATATGTCTAAGTGAAACAGTCTAAAGCACATTTCAAAAAGAATGTGGTCCTTTTTGTAAATCTTAAAACATTTCCTTAAATAACAATCTGCTGCTATAAAAATTTTAAATTAAAAAGCCACAAAATATTTGGGAAGAAACTGTAATTTAATTGTGCTGTTGTTGATATAACATACCACTAGCACACTTACCTGGAAGCAATGTCAGCTGAATTCAAAAGTAAGGAAAAAAAAGATCTCCAAAGAACAAATAAGTTACTAAGCGCTTACTTTAAGAACACTGAAGTTCCTCTCTGGCTGATTCACAATCTTTCCTTATTCCTTCTCTTATTCCCTAAACAAGTGTGGTCCCCAACAGTATGTCTCAAACTTCCTCTTGGCACCAAGCGGCTTATTTCCAACTATAACTCACTTCAATTATGAGCTTTATCACAGAATGCACCTTCCACCGCATCTTAACAATGATGTGGCTCTTTTGAGGGTCCCAGTTGTCAGCCATCTTCTCAAAGGGAGACTGCTTATTCTCCCACATTCATTGTTCCTTGATGCTGTATGGAGACCATTACTCCACCATCTCCATGTAAAAACTTACTTCTTTGAGGCCCCTGTCATTTAGCAGCAGTAAACTGTAACACCTTTCCTTCACTGCCATCTAGCAACCTCCGTGGCCAACTCTCCCTCATTTACTGAAGACTTGAGCCCTGGGATCACTGTCTTGCAGTCTACCTCAATTAAATCTCTCTTTTCCTCATATCTTTGATCTTGCCACCTTCCCCATTACCCTCAGCACATGACTCTGATTCCTTTTTCTCAAAACAAGAGAAATGTGACAGAATCCCCTTGACTTTCTCTGTCATTCTCCCTGGTGCGAGGAAAGTGGCGTCCCGTCTGACTGTGCTCTGGTCCCCTCACCTCTTGCTTCTTGGGACGACCTTGTATTGTCATCTACCCATGAATGTCTCTACCGGCTTCTCCCCAGGAGCAATGAAATATGCTCAGATTTCTTACATCTGAAAAATACCCAAATACCCAAACAAAATCAGAAGCTTCCTTTGGCCCTCTGACTCCCGCATCTTCTCCAGTTTCTGCCTCTTCCTGCCAACACCTCCAAACAAATTTCTTCAAAGATTATCCAGTCAAATTTTCTGTTTCTTCACTGTTCAAATCACTACTCAAATCACTCTATCTGGCTTTTGCCCTTAAGACTCTACCCAGAGACCACCCTCTTTATTTAAATCCATGTGCACGTTACAGTCACATCTTAAATCAACTCAAAGCAGGTTAATGCCACTAACCCCGAGCTGCCATTGGCTCTTGGTTTTCTAACCCACACCCCTTTTAATCATACACTATTGTGGCTTCCTCTTTTCCCAACATCCCTGAAAGACTGATGACCTAGTTTCTTCTCAGTCTACATATGTCTCTTGGAAACTCTAACATGACATCAACTGTAATCTACAAGCTGATGACTGCTGAGCCTTTTTCTCCAGCCCAGATCTTTAACTGTGCATGAGACTACACAGCTGTCTGCCCACCAGATACCTCTACTCAGATATCCCACAGAAACTCAAATTCAACATCTTTCTCAGCATGTCCTTTTCTCCTGATAACCCGTTTTTCACCTTACATTCCCTATATCACTTTCATTCACCAAACTGTCCAATCCAGAAACCTGGGGCTCATTCTTGCTTCTTCCTTTCCTCATACTCCTTTTGTTAAAGTATTATTCTTGTGGCCAGGCATGGTGGCTCACACCTGTAATCCCAGCACTCTGGGAGGCTGAGGTGGGCGGATCACGAGGTCAGGAGATCAAGACCATCCTGGCCAACATGGTGAAACCCCATCTCTACTAAAAATGCAAAAATTAGCTGGGCGTGGTGATGCATGCCCATAATCCCAGCTACTTGGGAGGCCAAGGCAGGATAACCCCTTGAAACCAGGGAGTCGGAGGTTGCAGTGAGCTGAGATCTCGCCACTACACTCCAGCCTGGGCAACAGAGTTACACTCTGTCTCAAAAAAAAAAAAAAAAAAAAAAAAAAAAAAAAAAAAAAAAAAAATAATTGAATAAATAAAAAAAAAAAAAAAA